GTTGCAAAGTATTGCAAATAATATGATCTTATTATTTAAAAAATAGAATATAGGTGTAAAAGTGTACATATTTGCCTAATTTTATGGAACCAGAACTGTAAGCTGCTACACCACGCTTTCACCGATTTTGCCTATGGATAGGAGAGGACTTTGTGAGTCCTGGCTTACTCACTTTGTTATAAACATTTATGTGTAGCTGGATCTTTTACAATGAGGATATATTACTTTTCCAATAAATTTTTATTTTAAGAAAAGATAATAATAAGGTTGGGGGTTCACCCTAGACCTACTAAATTAAGTTTTCCAGGGGCCTTCCATCTGTGTTCTTCAAATCTTCCTTCACGATTTGGACAATAGGTCAGATTCGGGAGTCTCTGCGTTAGGAGACTATTCCAGCAATAAAATGGAAAACTGAGGGTTGCCCAATCAATGCTATGCCAGTAAAAATGAAAGCAAATGGGGAGATTAGAAAGATCCTTATCTATTTTACAGAAATGGGAGAAGTGCTCATTAACACATTCATTAAGTAAATATTAACTTAATATCCCATATCAATAATAAATAGTATGAATGAGCATAGCGGGGCCTTCAAATGGCCTAAAAGAAGTAGGCTGAGTCCTTTGCTGTTGCACTTAGCAATGCATTTTCAAGAATGAATGGGCCCGTCATTTGTTATACCTGGGAGGGACCTGTGACATTACTCACTTTAACTTTATAACTAAACAAAGGGAAGTTTAATTTTTCCTCTCATCTTAAAGCCATAGAAGTCCTTATTTAGATATAATCCTTATTAATCCTTATGTAGATATAATCCTGAAACTTTGTTCTCTACGAAATTACTGTGTGACTTTTCCACATTCAGGCAGTCTGTTTCTCATGCTTCTAAATGAGCACACGTTATCACCATCTGGGAAGAATCCCAATGTGCCTAACCCGTGGCATAGAGCTGACACTTATGCAAAATGACTTTTCTTTCCTTCCTACTGGCTTCGTCTATAAGAAATTGAACAAAGCTGCAGGCGGCAGCAGCTCAGAGAGGTGTCGTCTCTGAGATACCAGCCCGTCTTCCAGGCCTAAGGGGTGGACATGAACAGAGACACTGAAGCACAGTTATTTTCCTTCACAACCACTTCATTGGTCAAGACAATAAAAGACCGCATAAATAGCAACATCGAGACTCTTGCTTATCAAGAATTCCCAGGGCTCTTTGTCTGCTGAGGTGCCCTGACATCAGGATCATAATTATCCAGTTCTGGAGACGATCCGGCTGTGATCCTCAACCCTAGTTTATAGTTTCTTTGGAAATACTGATCCCATCCTTTCAGGAGACAATGCTAACACAGAAGGTCACAATACTAACTCCTGGGTGGAGTTTGAGATTCTTCTGGATTGCATATTCTAGTTCCAACTCTAGCATGCAGATGAGTTGGTACCCACAGAAAGAAGGGAAAACAGGGTGACCTCCATGAAGCAGCCTCTGTGGCTGGAGGAGATGACCACACAAACCAGGAATTGAATTTGATAACTGGGTGGACCTAGCCTGGTGGGTGATACAGTGCCCGCTGGCCCCCTCCGCCCCCACCCCAGCAAAGACACCCACCTGGAGCATCGGAATGGGACCTTATTTTAGAATAAGGGTCTTTGTAGATGCAACTGGGTTAAGGATCTCAAGACGAAATCATCCTGGATGTAGAGTGGACCCTGAATCCAATGACTGGTCTCCTCATAAGAGAAAGGAGGGGGAGGTTTGACACACAGAGAGACACGGGGGGAAAGGCATGTGAAGACAGAGGCAGAGACTAAAGGGATGCAGCTACAAGCCAAGGCCGGCCAGCCAGCACTAGAAGCTGGGAGCAAGGCCTGCAGCAGATTCTGCCTCAGAGCCTCCAGGGGGAACCAATCCTGCCGCCACCTTGATTTTAGACTTCTGGCCTCCAGAACTGTGAGAGAAGAACTCTCCGGTTTTTTAAGCCCCCAGATTTGTGCTAATCTGTTATCACAGCCCTAGGAAACTAAGACACCCTTTCAGAGCTATTGCAAACCCACTCAGGATAGAGAGGAAGTGACAGCTTCCCAGGTGGCGTCTGCTTCGCCCATTTCATGATGCAAACCAGAGGGCACATCTCGGAGGCCCTGTGTGCACAGTACAGATGAAAAGATTCCTTTTAAACTTCAAAGGATGGTTATATGCAACTGATCAAGCTGCACAGTGCACTTGGGCCAAGTAGCTAAGTGTCATTGACTGCACTCCACAGTACAGCAAATAAGCCCCTTGCCTAAGCTTGTCATCAGAGTTCTTGATAGATGGCTTCAAAACAGACTCTCCTTAAAGTAAGTGTGACAGGAAGGGAGAACACTGATGGTCAGGAGTGGTACGAAAGGAATTGGAAAACAGAAGGTTTGCTAAACAAATATCCCAGAAGGACTTATTTCCAGAATATATATATATATATATATATATATATATATATATATATATATATATATATAATAAAATGTAAGAACTACATAAAATTCACGTTGCAATTTTCCTTGAAAGATAAGTTTTAAAACCCTAGCTTTTGTTACCATAGGCCCATTTCTTGTTATCTTATTGTGAACGAAAGTTTCCCTGAGAAATGTTACTGACCCATCAGGCTGGCCTGGGGGTCTCCCACGCTGTCTGAGGACGGGCCTGTCTCAGCCATAATTCACAGGAAAGACTCGGGAGGTTTAACCGTGCTGTGGTGCCAGAACAGTGAACAAAACTGTAATATTTAGAACAAGGGAGTAATAGCTGTGCTCTACCATGCTGTGGTCAGACCATATCTGGAAAGACTGTATTGCTTACAGCATAAAAATCTGGGGACTTCTTTTCATAAAAAGCACTTCGCGAGGGGTGGAGGGGTCAAGGTTTTCAAAGGCAGCAACTCTTGAATCCCGGGGCATTTAAACCTGGAGAAGAGAAGACTCGGCCATGAGGCGGGTGCTGACAAATATCGAAGGGATGTAAGGTGAAAGAGGATTAGACCACTCGATAGGTAGAAATAACATTGCAACTTCAGATTAAGAAACAGTTTTGGAAAAGCAGAGCTGTGCGAAGATAGGACCAGCATCTTTTTTTTTTTTTTTTTTAAAGATTTTATTTTTTTCCTTTTTCTCCCCAAAGCCCCCCACTACATAGTTGTGTAGCCTTCGTTGTGGGTCCTTCTAGTTGTGGCATGTGGGATGCCCACTACATAGTTGTGTAGCCTTCGTTGTGGGTCCTTCTAGTTGTGGCATGTGGGACGCTGCCTCAGCGTGGTCTGATGAGCAGTGCCATGTCCGCGCCCAGGATTCGAACCAACGAAACACTGGGCCGCCTGCAGCGGAGCGCGCGAACTTAACCACTCGGCCACGGGGCCAGCCCCTAGGACCAGCATCTTTAACAAGTAGCGCCCCCCACCCCCCCTCCCAGGGAGTATGCAAGCAAAGATGGGAGAGTTACTTCGCGAGGGTGCTGCAGACATGTAAGCTTCCTTCTAATTCTGTTAGTCAAATCTGTGGTTCTTCTCACTTGTAATTTAAATATCCTCCGGGTCTTCGGAATCTGAGGTTCTGATCCTGAATCTGCAAAATGCAAATGACCGCTATGGAACTAAACCCCAGGAATTGTTTTGCCGCGTACTGCATTGATGCGTCCATCCTGCTAACCTGAATACATAATTGTTTAAGTTTGAATAATGTTTAACAATATGCTGGAAGGAGATGGAGCATGAAGAGCTGGGAGGGGTTATCCTCAGTAAGTAAGAATAGGGCATGTGAGATGGCTGAGAAAATCAGGGTTGTATAGAGAAGCAGAACAAATAGGATAGAGAGAGAGAGAGAGTTATTTTAAGAAACTGGGTCACACTATGATAGAGGCTGGCCAGTCCAAAATCTGCCATGAAGGCTGACAGGCTGGAGAGTCGATGTTGCAGTTCAAGTCCAAAGGGCATCTGCTGACAGAATTCCTTATTGCTCAAAGGAAGTCAGTCTTTCTATTAAAGCCTTCAACGGATTGGATGAGGCCCACCCATGATATAGAGGGCAATCTGCTTTACTCACAGCCCATTGACTTAAATGTTAATCTCATCAAAAGAACACCCTCATAGAAACAACCAAAATAATGTTTGACTAATATGTGGGCACTGTGGCCCAGCCAGGGTGACACACAAAATTAGTCCTTGCACGAAGGGTTGGTTCCTCACACCTCACGGGTCCTTTGACCTATGTGGATACAACCTCTGAGGGATGAAAGGAGTCAGGGAGTAGAGCTGGTGAACAGAGGTCACTGAATATCTTCTCACGCTGCCTCTGAGCTTTCTGAAAGGACATCTTTAATCTCAGATCTTACTAAGCTAAGTAGACAAATTTCTTATTTTGAATGATACCGGGTGAATGCTTCTCCTGGGACACCACCCACTTAGCATCTGTTACACACACCTTACGCACAACCGCACAGTTATAGATAGGTCTCATTTTAATCAATTGAAGACATAGCAAAGTTGTGCTTCTAAGGCACCTCAGAATTTAAAGAAAGGAGCATAAAGGAAAATAACCTAAATGAATTTTAGATTGGCAAAATACTAGGAGTAAGGAGAAGCTAATAAGACAAATGGAATTATTCTATCTTCTAATCAGCACCAAAAGAAGGACTCAGGAAAGATGAAGAGAATGTTCTTTTATTTTTAGCTGTTAACTTTTATTATAAGAACACTACAAATTCGGTAGAGGAGGGGTGGGGTGCAGAAAAAAATGAGAGAGTGGGAGAGACATCATCGATATATCACCCAATGCAAACCAAGACGTGAGCTTTTCGCCAAACAAAACAGAGCTTGAGTTACTCATAACAATTTTTGTGTGTTTTTAAAGTTAGGTATTGTCCTGAGTGTTTTTTATACATTATCTCATTCTAGAAAGAGAGTTACCATGAGCATTTCATCATTTATGTTCCATCATGTGCTTAATCTTTATTTGTAATTTGACGTATTTTCAGAAGGCTATTTTTTAGCAGTTTCTACTTCTGACATCTGTTCAACAGACACATTAGGGATGCAAATATTAGACAGCAATTGTAAGTAGCACGCCATCTTCTCAAACCAAACCAACTTCAATTTAAAATATACTAAAGGTATATAAAACAGCAGTCCACTGAGAATAAAGAGACACGTATAGACATAATGTATACGTGGAGACTTCACCAAAGGTATCAAAACCGTACACAGGTTGGTGGCCATTGTGGCCAATGGAGATGGCAAAAACACCTGAAAAAGAGCAAAACTCAAAAAAAAATTAGATATGAAAACCCTCATTAAGTGCCTGCATATTTATATAAACGAGAAATAAGCTCTAAGCCAACAATAGAAAGTGGGCTAATTATCTATGAGTTTAGATAAACCTGGCGTAGGAGTTAGGATGTCAAAGACTGTCACTGTCAGAGTTTTCTTTGAAGGGAATGAACATCTAGCAGTTGGCTGTTCAGGAGTAGAAATAATCATGACCATTTGCTGTTAAGATAACCATCTCTGATCCAGGTGGCATGAATTTGTTAAGAGGGAGTTCCTTTTCGCAACAGTTTTCCCAGGAAAATAACTCAAGGCAGTAAGAAATTCATGTTAAAAGCACAGATTATCCCCCCGCCCTCTGTTACCCAGGCAGATATTGACAGGTAAATATTATGGCTTTATGGGCTCAGTCTATTAAAGACAAAATAAATCAAAACAAAAACTGTGGCCAGGACAGTTCTATTTTTGGTGGGTTTTTTTGTTTTTGTTCTTGCCAAAACCCTTGAAGCTCCCCTATCCCTGGTACTTTGTGTTAGGATTGTAAGCATCCTGCACTAAACATTACCCAACCAGGGAGAAAATTCAGTAGGCAGTCACTTCTGAAATGTCTGTAAGAGAGAGATATAAGTCTATAGCTGGTATATCGAATAACACTATAAATAATAACAACTATCAATGTCGGTAGAGACTCTGGATTATTTGCATGCCTTAGCTCATTTAATACATCTTCCATTCCTAGGAGGTAGACATTATTCATTGGCATTTTAGATCTGAAGAAGCTGAGAATCAGAGGTTAGATAACAAGATGATTCCCCTCCCGCAGGTATTCTCTGAGCATCCTCTGCAGGCCACCATGTGGCAATGATCACATGATGCTTGTTGGTTCACCTGACTAGGTGGATTATGCCCTGTCCAAAAGCAAGAGCTAAGTCTCATTCCTTCCTGTACCCACAATACGGCGCAAGAGACTTAAAATATAGTTGCTTCTCATTAAATGACACTCGAATACACAACAGTTAGGGGACGGCTGGATGGAAGAAGAGAACACTGAAATAGAAGGATGGTTGTAACCCAACCGGGGTTAATGATGAGAGCACTGTTTTCTTCCTCCCCGTGTTCCTTCCTATATTCTGTGTGTCCTGAGAGGCAAAGAGACTGCCTGGATTTGAATCTCAGCTCTGCTCCATGCTGTGTGAGCTTGGGCAAGGGACTTAGCTTTTCTAAACTTGCTTTCTCATCTGTAAAATGGGGATAACTTTAGTATCTGCCTTTTGTATTACTAAGAGGATTAAACGTGATAATTCAGGCAAAGCTCTTAAGATGATGCCTATCCAACCAAGACTATTCTCCTCTTCTATGATGCAGCATCAGGACCACCTTTCTCCAACAGCATCCTTATGCTGCCAAGTGTCTGCTTACTTCCTCTTCCACGATTAAAGGGCTCTGCCGTAAAACTCTTCCTCATCTAGACGGAAAGGAAGTTTAAAAGTAAGTACGGCTGAAAAGATGAAATTTGTCAGTGATCAAACTAAGTTGATGTTTCAGGACGAGAGACGTCATGGCTGTGACGCCTCGGCAGCACCTGCCTCTTCTGTCTCCTGCCTGCTAAATCCTGCCCGGACGGTGGAAGATGCTGATGTGCACAAGTAGCTACCTAAGTACACAGCAGTCTCTGGTCAAAAGACTTGTAATGATCTGTCCAACCACCCACAGGTCTATGCTTCTCTCCAATAAACCTGATGGAACCTAAGAGATTTTACACTGAGTAAAGTCTGCCCAATAAAAATGAAAATGAGGGGGCTGGCCCCGTGGCCGAGTGGTTAAAGTCCGTGCGCTCCGCTGCAGGTGGCCCAGTGTTTCGTTGGTTCAAATCCTGGGCACGGACATGGCACTGCTCATCAAACCACGCTGAGGCAGCATCCCACATGCCACAACTAGAAGGACCCACAATGAAGAATATACAACTATGTACTGGGGGGCTTTGGGGAGAAAAAGGAAAAAATAAAATCTTTAAAAAAAAAAATGAAAATGAAAACAGCCCAGATTGTCTTTACGTGTTTCACAATTTGCTAGTAGAAAAAAAGATCTACTTATAGATGTTCTGAATATAGTTTTCAAATACGGTTACACCCAACATCTTCTATTTCACACAGAAAAACTTAGAAAACTCACTTTTACCTTATAAGGTCTAGGTAGATTGGGCTTTTGGTATCTTGGTTTTAGTATTCCTATCATTGACAGTAAAGACCAAATAGAACTTGCAAAATAAAGATACTTTATCAAATCAATTAGGTTTGTGGAGACAACCCCAACAGATGCCACAGTGACAAGTAGTAGCACAGACATAAATGGAGAAAAGGGAATATTAAGCATATTAAACAACAAAGGCAGCTGGCCCTCTTGGCCTGCAATATATGTCGTTCTTGATGATTCAAATATGTTCGCCAGAAGGTTGCTGAATGAAGAGGCAGAAATAGCAAAAGGGATAACCCGTGTTAATGAGGGGATGACTCTGTCAGACCACATGACAACCACGGCATCTGCAGAAAAGCAAAAACGTGGAACAGGAAATGTATTTAAAAAGAGAAACTAAGCATAAACCTTTAAAAATTATTTCAAAACCAAAGCAGGCAATTTAAAAAGTAATTAAGAAAATTGAATTTTAATTTCATTGTTTATTTCCTTACTTATCCTTACATGACACCATTTGCATGTGTGCATTTTAGCCGTATCACGCTGTATCATAAATGGTTATTATCTTATATGTCCTCCCCAATAGACCCCAAGGAGCTTCCCTTCTTGAGGGCAAGGCTTATCCATTTCTTTTCTGTCAAACTAGTACTTCACTCAGGGACAGACATATAGTAGGTTTTCCGTAATACTTGTGGAATGAGTTGATTCTGTTGAGTGGATGATTGAATGCGTGCTTGTTTTCCAAAACTACTTTAGAGAGTGCTGACCGTCAGAGTCAAAAAGCCCAGGGCGAGGCTGCTGACCCGGGACTGAGACTGACGAAGACCCCAGATCACGGTGTCATTGGAAATACTTAACAGAAGTGAAAATGAACCACGTAGACAGAGAAAATAAGTTACACACAGATTAAAATACTTATGACGTTTGGGCGCCCGTCTGAACTGTGGACCAGTGGTTCTCAACTGGAGGTAATTTTGCCCCTCAGGGGTCATTTGCCAATATCTGGAGACATTTTTGGTTGTTACAACTGGGGAAGCAGGAGGTTGCTACTGGCGTCTAGTGGGGAGAGGCCAAGGATGCTGCTAAACATCCTGCAATGCACAGGACAGCGCCCTCAACAAAGAATTATAAGCTCCAAAATGTCTAGTGCTGAGATTGGGAAACCCTGCTATTGGCCATCTTTGGAGAATATTCTGATATTTTTACTTAAATGGGCAGACATCTTCTGAACACTAGTTCAATGTAAGTCAGCAGATATGAAAGGCACCAATGAAGAAAAGCATCCATTGCTTATGAGACTCTATTTGAGTCCAATTCATATTATGTAGATATAAGCTAGGATATCAAAATCCTGGCTTATAACAAATAATGAAATTTTTTCAATACAACAAAATTAAAATATCATCAATTGTTCTTGTTCTTAAAGACTTTTATTCTGAATCTATTTTAAATAAACTCCAGTGTGATTTTCACTTTTCTCTTGAGTGCCATTCTATGATATTTGGTCTTGTTTGAAAATATCTCTTGTCTCACTTATTACTCATTTCAAATAAGGTATTCTTGGCTGTTCCTCCTGGGCACCCTTACTGCCACACATTTTGCATTTCAGACACATTTCAGAAATCCTTCTTGTTCTCTGATTTCCCGTCATGTATTCTACAAACGTGGTCGGTTATAATTGGAGGAGATTCTACTTTGGCTCTGCTATATAATCTTCCCCTGTATCCCACAAGTGATTTCTTTTTTATTCCTTCCTGCACGTCATTTCTTTTCTTCTAAAAATTATATTATGTATGCTTTTAGTAAAAGTCAAGTAAATAGCACTGAAACACATGAAGTGAAAAGTAAATATCTTTCTCCTCGCCAATCCCTCATTCATGCACCCCAGATGTAACTACTGTTGACATCTTTTTGGATATTCTTCCAGAAGTTTTCTATGCACATATAAACATCTGTGAGGGGTATGTATGTGTGTACATGTGTGTTTGCGTGTGTGTGTGTGTGTGCATGCTTAGGCTTGCTTTTTACACTTTCCAATATATCTTGATCATATTAGTACATATGCATCCATTTAATTATTTTCGTGAATTCTTAGTATTCCATTATATAACTGTAAGTTAAGTTGTTTACCAATTTTATATTGGTGGATTTTAGGTTGTTTCCAATTTTTTTGCTAATATAAAATGTGCTTTAATGAACAGGCTTGTGCCTTCAAGATTTGGTAGCTAGGATTCTCCTCATAGAGTAAAATCTTAGAAGTGGGACTCATGAGCCAAAGGTATATAAGGTAGATGTTTAAGTAAGTGAGATATTACTAAATTGCTCCCCAAAAATAATGGAACCAATTTACCAGTAAGTGATTCTAGCATTTCCACTTTCCTCTCAAAATTCCTTTTTTTTTTAATTTTTATTTTTTTCGGATGTGCATCATATTTCGAATTCTGTATACATTACATCATGTCCACCACCCTAACACTAATTATAGTGCATCCCCTCACATGTGACCCTAATCACCCCTTTTGCCCTCCCCCCTCCCCCTTCCCCAATGGTAACCACCGGTCCAATCTCCAATGCTATGTGTGGTTTTATTTGTCGTTTTTATCTTCTACTTATGAGTGAGATCATATGGTATTTGACTTTCTCCCTCTGACTTATTTCACTCATCATAATACCCTCAAGGTCCATCCATGTTGTCACAAATGGCCGGATCTCGTCATTTCTTACGGCTGAGTAGTAGTCCATCGTGTATAAATACCACATCTTCTTCATCCATTCGTCCCTTGATGGGCACCTAGGTTGCTTCCAAGTCTTGGCTATTGTGTATAATGCTGCAATGAACATAGGGGTGCAAGTATCTTTATGCCTTTGTGTTTTCAAGTTCTTTGGATAAATACCCAGCAGTGGAATAACTGGATCATATGGTAGATCTATCCTTAATTTTCTGAGGATACTCCAAACTGCTTTCCATAGTAGCTGCACCAGTTTGCACTGCCACCAGCAGTGAACAAGGGTTCCCTTCTCTCCACACCCTCTCCAACATTTGTTGTTTCCTGTCTTGTTAATTATAGCCATTCTGACTGGAGTGAGGTGATACCTCATTGTAGTTTTGATTTGCATTTCCCTGATAGCTAATGATGTTGAGCATCTTTTCATATGCCTGTTGGCCATCTGTATATCTTCTTTGGAGAAATCTCTGTTCAGATCTTTTGCCCATTTTCTAATTGGATTGTTGGTTTTTTTGTTGTTGAACTGGATGAGTTCTTTGTATATTTTCCCATTTACAATTGCAACAAAAAGAATAAAATACCTAGGAATAAACTTAATGAAAGAGGTGAAAGATCTGTACACCGAACACTATAAAACATTGTTGAAAGAAATCAAAGAAGACACAAATAAATGGGAAGATATTCCGTGCTCTTGGATTGGAAGAATTAACATTGTTAAAATGTCCATACTTCCTAAAGCAATCTATAGATTCAACGCAATCCCTATCAAAGTTCCAGCAACATTTTTTACAGAATTAGAACAAAGAATCCTAAAATTTATACAACAAAACACCTCGAACAACAAAAGACCTCGAATAGCCAAAGGATTCCTGAGAAAAAAGAACAAAGCTGGAGGTATCACACTCCCCAATTTCAAATTATACTACAAAGTCATAGTAACCAAAACAGCATGGTACTGGCACACAAACAGACACACAGATCAATGGAACAAAATTGAGAGCCCAGAAGTAAACCCACACGTTTATGGACAGCTAATATTCGACAAGGGAGCCAAGAGCATACGATGGAGAAAGGAGAGTCTCCTCAATAAATGGTATTGGGAAAACCACACAGCCACATGCAAAAGAATGAAAGTAGACCATTCCCTTACACCATGCACAAAAATCAACTCAAAACGGATTAAAGACTTGAATGTTAGACCTGAAACTATGAGACTTCTAGAAGAAAACATAGGCAGTATGCTCTATGACATTGGTCTGAGCAGCATATTTTCAAGTCTCATGTCTGACCGGGCAAGAGAAACAAAAGAAAAAATGAACAAATGGGACTACATCAAACTAAAAAGCTTCTGCACAGCAAAGGAAACCATCAACAAAACAAAAAGACAACCTAACAATTGGGAGAAGATATTTGCAAACCACCTATCAGATAAGGGGTTAATATCCAAAGTATACAAAGAACTCCTCTCAAAATTCTTAATGCCACCTGTTTGGCCAGCTACCTGCAGGCTGCTTCTGCTCAGCGAAACCTTCTTAGCCTCCGCTCCCATACAATCTACTTACTATTTTAGATTGTCTTTTCCTATGCCAATATTCCCTAGTTTTACATATGACATGGAACCCTCAAGAACACCAAATGTGAGCACCGCTGTCAGCAGTGTGTTGTGGGGCTTCCTCAGGCGGAAAAGGCCAGGAACCAGGGCTGCTCATTGTGGCATTTCCACACCTGTCATTCAAGAGGGGCATCGTTCTCTGCCCTGCTGCAGAGCTCATTCTAAATGAAGGCTACTGGTTTTTCTTCTAAGAGAACAATCAATAAAGAAATGTCAGAGATATGACACTGACACAAACAAAAACATTACAATATTAAGATCATTGGTACTTTTTCTCTGTAAACCATAGAATCTAACATTTATCACAAAGCGGTATAATTTTTTTCAATGTTCACCAAACAGAATGTAGCATCCAATTCACGCTGCATTCCAGATGCTCTATATTCCTTTGGAAACTCTTCACATCTTTTAAATACACCCATTTGATTAAAAACATTCACTCCTTAATCCTAAAACTTCCTTAATTTATTAATCTATTTCTTTTGCTTATAAATTTTCCACCTATCATATAAATTATGCTGTTCATTAAGGAAAATTTAGAAAATTCCATAAAGAATAAAGCAAAAATACTCACAATATCATTCTGGCAGATCTCCATTGTTAACTATTTACTTTCTGTTTTATGTGATAACATAGATCCTGCCTTTTCTCTCATTATTACATTATAGGCACTGTCCTTTTACTTTAAGCATTCCTCAACAATATGATCTTTGGAAAAGCTCAGAGTGGTCTGTTATGTGGGTTTCCATACATTATTTATTTATTTCAAACTTATTGGATATTTTGGTGATCTTTAATATTTTGCTTTCATATGTAATAGCTGTGTTTGTCCCTACACATACATTTTTCATGTATAGCTCTGATTATTTTCTTAATCTGAATTCCTAATACAATAAAAGGTAGACATTTGAATTCAAAAAAATTATTTCAGAGTTTAAACAAGGCCTAAGGATTATACGTCTGTAAGAGAAAGCACTGTAAACCGAATCACAAGCGATTACGGTCAGAACACTTCACGAGTCTTCCACACACGTCCAAACTGCTATGCCACCCACACAACTGTGGCAACTCTTATGACACACCAGAGTTGATATTCGTAATTCTTTAACAACCAGTATGGCCAGAGCACTGGCAGTCATAACAGACGCCAGCTCTAGTGAGCCACAACGGCCAGGCCGGCCGTCCAGCAGCTCTGATCACACCCGTAATTAACTTTGTAAATTTGTTCTCTATGTAATCAGAGTAGTTAATAAATCACTGCTTGTTCTTATCCGATTTGGTTTGTTCCCACAAATTCTCAGAATCTTGATGATGACTATTTACAGGTCGCTCAGAGAGCTAGACCGTCATGAATCAACACAGATGCCACGTGTACGGCAGCGTCCTGCACAGCAGTGGCACAGGAATTGAGGCAAAATATGTAAGGACGTTTATAGTAAACCTCTCTTAGATCGCCGCCAGTACCTCGAAGATTCACCAAGCCAGTAATAACTCCTCAGAAGAGATTAGTCTTGAAGGTCCTGGCTGATAGGCTTTTCTGAGAAGGTGCTGACTCAAGGTTTAACTCTGCTTTTAGGACATCGCTAGTCTTCCGCGTTCCCTGGTCCTTATTTCTTTCCAAACTTCCTTTTATCGCTTGAATCTGTTACTCGTTTTTTAATGTATGTTTATTTCTTTAAGGTTTTCTTATTCTTTCATTCTTTATTCTATACTTAGGGCCCTAAATTACTTATCTTTTAGTCAAATTTCCAATATGCCCAGAGCCCTTTGCCACCATAAATTTTACAGTTACTTATGGTAAACAACAACAGTATATTACATATTAATAATGTTAATTATATGCACCAATTGACCATTAGCATCTACTCTTAACTGCTAATATCCTACATTTCAAGTTTATCACTGTTGATGTCACCTAGAAGAACACGTGGAAAATCAGTGTTGTGAAAGTTGTAGCAGATATAAGCACCGACGACATAGGTCACACTGATGAGAAGAGATCATGAGTGGAATAGGAATATTTTGAACCCAGTCTGCACCATACATCAGCATTATGTATACTTTTCCATGTTATCAGAAAATGCAAAACCATGAGGAAACATGAAACTCTTTTCTAACCCAATTAAGCTTTTTTGTCCCTCTGCTATTTTCAAAAATTGTAAGTTGAGGGGCCGGCCTGGTGGTCCAGCGGTTAAGGTCGAACGTTCCGCTTCTCGGCAGCCCAGGGTTCGCCAGTTCGGATCCCCGGTGCAGACATGGCACGACTTGGCATGCCATGCTGTGGTAGGCATCCCATGTATAAAGTAGAGGAAGATGGGCACGACGGTAGCTCAGGGCCAGTCTTCCTCAGCAAAAAGAGGAGGATTGGCAGTAAGCTCAGGGCTAATCTTCCTGAAAAAAAATTATTGTAAGTTGATTCTACATATGAAATAATGTAAAGGAGACAGCAGTCTTGGCTGGTAAAGTAATATTTAGGTATGCCAAAAGGACCAGAAGGGTCGTAATTATTATTTATTCCCTAAGTCATTTGCATACAAACCGGAAGAGAGGATTTCCCTGGGTGTCAGAAGAGTCAGGTAGGAACTGTTAACCAGTAAATAAAGGACAGTCACCAAAGGTAACGCAGTAAGGATGCACTTGGAATTGTCTGTCTGGGTTTCGTCACCTCCCATATATGACATAAAACAGCAAAATCACAACTGCTAAAAATTATTTCTTAAATTTATCTTTAAAATAGCTCCATAGATCAACTATTGGGCTGGATTCTTCCTTTCCACCCCACCCACCACACACACACACACACACACACACACACACGCATGAACATCTACATTGGTGAACTGTGACACCCCCACCTCCTTTCTGAGCTTGGTGCTAAATGAAGAAAAGGGAACGTTGCTTCCTTTTCCCCATAGGTGGTAAAATTTCTTAAGAATGAAATGAAAGCTGAGCCCGTGGGATGGTTTGGAACCTACCTGTGTGTTCAGCCTCATCCGTTAGGTACAAGGCGCTGAGTTGGGTAGTGGAAATACAGTGGTGAGCAGAAACAAACGTGGAGCCTACCCTCAAGAAGAGGAGCTGTGCGTTAATTAAATGCTCACATCAATGAAACATACAGCAGTGACTGGGGTGAGTGTCCGTGAGAGATGAAGTCCTGGGAGAACGTATTATGTAACAACTGGGCGTCTTTGCTCTCTATGCTATAACCACTCTGACTTTTTCCAGTTCCTCAAAATTGCTGTGCCCCCAGAAGCCATAGAGCCCATTCTCTCATGTGAAATGTTCTTTCCTAGTTGTCTTGTTGAGCATTACTCTTACTTTGGATCTCAGCAAAGTCATAATTTCTGGGAAAATAGGAGAGGAAACTTTCCTTGACCAGCAAAATTGTCCTGGTAGACAGTCCCACAGCGTAGATGGAAAGAGTCAAAGAGTCCGTCATAAGTCGTCTCTCCCTGTAGGCTCTTTACCTTCCCTTTATGCCAAGAGTAAGTGCAAAAAGAGAAAAAAGAGGTCTTGATTAGCAGCATATAAATGGACTTTCCAGGATAGTCTTATTCTCAAATATTGTCCCATTTGTCACACCATTTTCCCCATTTTTGCCATTCTCTGGGAATTATCCCTGACATAAAGAATTGAACGTTATGGTTCTGTGTAACTGTGCCCTGGCCACTGGCAATAGAACCAGGTACAGACTCTGACTCCCTGCAAGTCAATTGTTGTACAGAAGATTTCTCTCAAGAATTTGAACCAAATGTCAACAAAACTGAGAGAATCAGGAAAACGGCAATGTAATGTTGGCTAAAACGAAGGGCGGCTAAGAACTCTGTTTGTTTCAGTTCTAGAGCTGCCTTAGTTCCTGCTGCTCCTGAAGGTTGGGTGTTCAGGTCTTCCTTGAATTACGGCGTTATCCTTCCAGTAAATTCTTCTTTTACTGTTTAAGCTAATGTATGTAGGTTTCTGTTACTTAAAGCCAAGTTGCTCTGACTAATAGATATCTGTCCTTTCACCTGTGTCGAATTTCTTCCATCTGCACTTGCCCAGGGTTGAATGTCATGTCCATGGTGTACACTAATATGGGCTCATTGAGCAGTTGAAGAGTAAAGAATGTCAAAAACTCTCATTTAAATGCTACCTGCACCACGTACCAGTTGTGGGCTTCTGCACAATTTATTGACTGTCAAAGTTTCAATTTCCTCACCCATGTATTGGGGGAAATGAAAAATATAGCACTCAATAAGTTATTAATGACTATGATTATTAGTTAAAGCTTTTAAACAAGCAAAAAGGCAACTTTTAGGATTAACTCGACTTTCCTCTGGGCCTTTTACTGTTTCTCATTATGTATTAGATTTATAGAGAGGAGGTAGGGAATATAATGCAACATAACATACCGTAATTTAAGGCTATAATGACCCGACGGGGTGAATAGCCATGGTCTCGAACTTAGAAGATGGTTGTGCCCACAATATGCAAAATCAGCTGCCTACAAATTACAATGTTACAGGTAAAACTGTTACTTAGAATTTAGCAGTCCTTAAAATTTATTAAGCAAATTATTAATCCCAGGATACACTGAAATTCCTCCAGCTTTAGTTTACTGCCAGCTGCTTGTGAAGAATTCTACAATTGTTTGTAGGTTAGCAAATTTTGTAAATCTATTTTTAGCAGAGAAAAGTTATCTAGCAATGAAACAAGATGAAATTGGTTCAAATGGAAATCAGAGATATCTCTTCTATCCTTAAAAGAGAGAGGGGCCGGCCAGTGGCACAGCAGTTAAGTCCACGCGCTCCACTTTGGCTGCCAGGTGTTCACAGGTTTGGATCCTGGGCGTGGACCTACACGCTGCTTATCAATCCATGCTGTGGCAGGTGTCCCACATATGAAAAATAAAGAAAGATGGGCACAGATGTTAGCTTAGGTTCAATCTTCCTCAGCAAAATAAAAAGAGGATTGGCAGCAGATGTTAGCTTAGGGCTAATCTTCCTCAGGGGGAAAAAAAAAGAGAGAGAGAGACAAAGTGAGAAAAAGAGAAAGCTTCATTAGTTGTGCTAGCCTCTCAAATTGCAGTGCAGCATGTAATTGCAAACTCCATGAAAGGGTAGTCTCCTCTCCTTGCTTTCTTTGCTCCAGACCCCATTTTTTAACTCAGTGCAAAGTAACTTTCCTCTCAGACTCAAAATTCACCGACAACTTCTTACTTAGTCAATGAGATGACTTCTGATCAGTCCTCATGCTCCTCAACTTCTGAAAGCTTTTCACCAGCTTGATTACAAACTCTTTTTGGAACATATGGTGATTTTTTAAAAGAATTCTCTAAACTTCCAGTGGCTTCTTCATTGGATCACCTTTCTTTACCTATCACCTAAAAGTTGGCATTCCCCAGTCACCTGTCTCCAACCCTAAACCATGTTATTCTCTCTCTATGGACTTGCCCCAGTCGTCATATCTACTATCAAGCCCATCAGATGGAAAACCTTTTGCAGTCACCCAAGACTACGTGCCGGGTCTTCAATGCAGGTCTCCACGGCTTCACTCATATTTTTCTACTGCTGGAATCTTCTGGATTCAATTAAAATTGCCACCTTTTCCACATGACGACATAGCAAAAGCTGATCTTGCCTTCTACTAAATTTCCACAGTAATTAAGTTGTTCCCTTATGGCCACTTATTAAATACTGTCATGCCATTATTTGTTTATAAGGCACAGAACCATAGTGATTTTAAGCCATAATCCCCATTTTTCAGATGAAGGAAAAGAAAAAGGAAGTCCAGAGAAGTAAAGACACTTGCCAAAGCTTGTAAGTGGCAGAGGTCAGACCAAAATTTAGGTATTGTCTTTTCTACTAGACCGTAAGCCTTTTTAGGGTAAAGAATAATCTTACTCATCTTAAGGCACCAATACAGCATTTTAAAAATAGTCGCTGTTTGGAAAGATATTTGCTGGTGGAATGATTTCATGAGTGATGGACACATCAGCAACGACAAGGGGTCCTAACATTAAGGGAAAAATTTGTTCAAGGGTAGAGCCTACTTCGTGGTTATACATCAAGGAAAAGAACTAGTAAAAAGGTTGAAATTGAGAAAAATGAAATAAATGAATGTGAAAGATTCCCGAGGGAGAGAGAGGGAAAGCATATAGATAGAGTTCAAGGGAACAGACTGATTTTGAAAATGAAGAGAGAAAACTTTTGTCCTGACATTGAAGGGAAGAGCATTAAATCAGCCTCAGCACAATCTAGGATGTTGATGATCCTCTTCTCTTTAAAAATGCTTAAGAGCCTAAGTCTCATCAGGCCATGCTGAGGCAGTGTCCCACATAGCACAACCAGAAGGACCCACAACTAGAATACACAACTATGTACTGGGGGGCTTTGGGGAGAAGAAGAAGAAGAAGAAAATAAAAAGATTGGCAACAGATGTTAGCTCAGGTGCCAATCTTAAAAAAGAAACTAGATTAACAAGGAAGTCCCATATCTGTGGTCCTAGAAAAGAAAGCTGAAAAAGAGAAGTTGTTCAATAAAATAATTATAGCATAGTTATTAAAGAATAAAATTATTCATTTGAATAAATGGGGGAAAAATTTAAAGTCTGGCATGTTCTCACTTGATTTAGAAAGCACAGAGAAGAAAAAAAATATTGAATCATTTCTTTACAATAAAACTCCCAAACATGTTAAAAGATGTACATTTCACATTGTGAGCATTAGGTCATGGCTTGTGATTTTTTTCTCAAAGGATTGTTAATTACCTGCTATAAATATAATGCATCCCCCACCTGAATATGCAAAATATCCTTGGAAGACAGCTTCTATATACTGGGTGGCTTCTGGGAACTCAGCAGCAAAAGCGTTCTGAAACCCTCCTACATTCTCCTTCCTTCCTCTCACTAGCAACACCCCTCCACTTAGGGAAATGAGGCCAAGTACGGCCACTTTCAGCGCGGTGCTGGCTGTCTGAAGCCAAGTTATCTCTTTTCCACCGCGAGAATTCAGAATTCCCACAACCCACAATATGGCCAGCGCCAGACATTTCTTTGGCAGATTTGGAGCAGAGCAGCTGGAATAAAGAGGTTGGATGCTGATTACTCGGCGAGAAGCAGGGCTTGGCTGGCGACTGGTCCTCGCTGCAGAAACAAGCTCGTCCAGAGTCTCAGAAAAGACGGGGTTGCCAAAACATCTCTTGAGAAAGTCGACGTTAGCTCCACTGCATGGGAAGGTTGTACCTATCTCCGCTGAGCAGAGGGAAGTCATCACGGCCGACAGGACACGGGCAGCCCAGATGCACAGGGAGAGCCCCACGTTCATGGAAGAGTACTTCAACACTCCTTTGGGGGCCACCAAAATTCCAGCGCCAATTACGTTACCTGTGACAAAACGTGTGACCCAGAAAGATCCAAACACTTTTGAGCTGGATCGTCTTCCCTTTATCCATTGTAATTGAAGAATTTTAAAACTTACGATTTCTGAATTTTTCTGTCTATATTGCTGGAAAGGATGTCCGTGGATTCTCTGAAATAAGACAGCGCAGTCCTTTTTGTTCCACCTTCATTAAATCTAGCCCATTTTCAATCATTAAAAAATATACGTGATGCATCCAAGTAAAATAGGGCAAGATGACTTGGAAAGGTTTAGTTTGACTTGTTTTTTAATCATTATCAAAATAATACTTTCAGATGGAAGAAAGGGACTTCAAAAGGCAGAGTATTACAGCAAAAAGCAGGCGTTTTCTGCTCTGCTTCACTCTTTCCCAGACACATTCCCAGTTTTCTCTGGAAACAACCATTTAAAAACATGTATGGTTTTAGTTCTTTCTGGTAGTTGCCTTCATAACTCTGAATAATATGAAAAGACTTTTATTCTTAACCATCTCAACTTGAGAGAGCGTCCGTGACTTCCTCCCACGAACGCTGAAGAATTAGCTCCCTTACTATCCTCTTGCTTACCCTGCTCCCTCTTTCTCCCATTTCTTGTCGTCAAGCTTTCAAGAAACGAAGTATTTACTTTCCATCAGGCTCATGGATGCCAGTTAACAAGGCGAGGGAGTGAAACACCTTGCACCATAAGCCTGTCCTTAACCAGACATCGCCCTGGTAGCGTGGGTCACATGCAGAAAAATGTGGACAGGAAGTACGGGAGAAGGCCCGACCCCATAGACAGAAGGAAGCAGGGTCCTAAACATCTGAGCGAGGCCTGGGCCTCAGTGGCTCTTACATACGTTAACTTTACAACGCCAACCATTGTTTTGAGTATCTTCAAAGCCTCTCAGCTCGGGGCACACCCCCAGCCTCAGAAGTAAATCATTTCCAAATTATCCTCTAAGAGTAAATGAAAATGAAATTTTATGTTTTTGCTCTGGTTGTGGGTGAACTGGCTGTTTTGTAGCAGATTGCATCCAGGAAAATCCACTGACAGCACCGCATAAATCTCGGTAAACATGACCGGGTCCGCGTCCCAGAAAGCAAGGACCTGGGAGCGAGGGAAGGGGACCAGGAAGCTCACCTGAGGATAGAAACAAAGTGTGTGGAATAAGCCAGACAGGGAAAGACAAGTATTGCATAGTTCCACTTCCACAGAGTATCTAAAATAGTCAAATTGATAAAACGAAGGACTGGAATGGTGGTTGGCAGGGCCTGGGAGGGGAGCAGAAATGGGAAGTTATTCCACAGTCATAACGTTTCAGCTAATTAAGATGAATGCGTTCCAGAGATCTGCTGTACAGCATCATTATAGTCAACAATAATGTATGCCGAAAATTTGTTAAGAGGATAGATCTCATGTTGAGTGTTACCACAATAAAATATTTTCAAAGAGAGTAAAATACAATTTAACTCATGAAAAAAAAGGTAGAAACAAAGTCAAAGAAGGGGGCAGAGTTACTCAACGTCCTGTCACTGAGTCCCCCAACTACTCGTCTACTTTCAGGAGAGACCGCGGGGGGACGCTCTGCCCACAGTCGGAATCTCATAGCAGGAAAACAGGACTAGAACCCTCCTACAGGGCCCCAGTAGGAGGCTGGGCGCTCCGTAGCGTGTCTCTTTGGCCAGGCTGAAATGCCTTTCCCCAGTTTCTTGGTTAGAATGGACCATAAGGAAGACTTTCGTGTGAGGTTTGGAGAGCAGAAGTGAAACAGCAGTTGTTTTGATAGTTCATGCTGACAAGAAACCCCTCCTTGAGAAACTTCAGTCCACCTCCTTCGAGCCCCTTTCCCCACTAGGCCGTCTCCTTGATCTGCTCAGAGCAGTTTAGTAAGAATACCCACATCCTTGGTGTCGAATCAATTTCTTCTTGATAATTTTCCATCCGCTGACACCCTCATTCCGCCCGTTGGTTATAAACCCCCAGCTGTCTTTGCTGTGTCTGGAGTTGAGCTCGGCTCTAGGCTGAAGTCTCTTTTGCCTACTGCAGTAGCTTGAAGAAAGCCTGTCTTGCCCTTTTTAAGAAGTATTCTGTGCAATTTTTCTCTTACAACATACACTGTCTCGTATACAAGGGCCCACCTTGTTGCTGTAACTGTCATGGGTCTGCTGGCTCACCTTGTTGGTTTGAGGCCATGACATCCCACAGCCACGTCACTTTCACCAAGACCCTCCTTCAGCTTCTCCAACCTCTGGGTCAGAGGGTGCTTAGCTCAGAGATGAAGGGCCCCAACTTCTGCAAGTTATGCACGCAATAAAGGTTAGTGGTAATGAGAACTAACACAGACTTCACTTCATCCTTGTGGACTCCAACTCATGCTCGCGAGTTCCAGCTTGTTCTTGTTCTCCTCCACTTTGACATCCATCATTCCTTCTGGATTACCTGAACTTCAACTTCCCAGTATCAGACTTGAGGACAACAGCTTTCAGAGAGACTACTTAATCAGCTCCCACAAATGCACAAAGTCAAACCTCTATAACAAACAAATCCTTTTAATTTATATTGGTTTGCAGCTAAATAGAAAGAGATTCAGACAGAGATACAGATAAATAAAGATAAACAAATATAGATAGACGTAGACATAGATGTGGATATAGATGTAGATATAGATAATTAGACAAAAGATATAAATACAGAGTTCTTAGTGGTTCTGTTGCTCTGATTGATACAAGGAGCAAAAGGCTATGCCATCTCGTGCATCCCAGGAGTCCTACAGTATTTGGGCATGTCTGTGACTCTGAAAATAAGGAATGTGAAACGGGACACTTGGCTGGGCTATCAATCCCCACTTCTGCTGTCTCAGGACTATCAGAGATTCTCCTCACTCAGGGGATGTACTCTACGAAACAGTGCCCCTCGTCTGTAGGGGATATTCTTGAAGATTCTATGTGGGGTTACTACATCAAAGGGGAAAACGTGTGAGTCATCCAACATTAGGCTCACAGGCACAGCTCCTGCAGTGCTGGAATATCTTCCACACAGCGTCTAGGCGAGCTCAGCCCTTGGACAGAAACTCTGGAAAGCTCAATGGGAAGCGGCCATGCGCAGGCCTTCTTACGCAGGACTCAAGAAACAGGAGACTGGAACAGCTGAGAGCAGACATTTCAAAGGACATTAAATTTTACAGCCAGATGTCACTTAGAAGGGTTTACAATGTTGTTTTTTCATCTTTATTTTTCTTTTTCTATAATTGCCCTACTAAGAGAAGATCTGTCATGACCACAGGCCTAAAGGTGTCAGTCTTATTGAGTGTATATCATTAAGTCAATTGTACAGAGATGCAAAAAGATGCCCATAGAAGTCAAGAAGCTTGCCAACGCCTCCAGTCCATGGTCTGAATGTCTAAAGTCTACTTTTTGTAGCCCTGACTTAAAAATAAATGTGGTAGCCAATGGCAGAGTGAGGCTCCCCACGTCTGCTCTTTCACAAGGGTGGCAAAATACTGGAAAATGCGTCAAAATCAACTTTTTCTCTACTTTAGAAACTAACCCAAGACTTGCAACAATCTGAAGAGAAGTTATTCAAGAAAAGCTTCTGAACTTCCATTAAAATGGTTGAGTTTGTGGGTTTTTTAACTTGGCCTCCTCCCATCCTCCTTTCCCCAGCTCCCAGTAGCCTTGAAAACCAGCTGCCCTGAAATCCTGGCAGCCATAAAAAAACAGTGTTGCAGCCACAGGAAAGGGGCACACCAGGAGCTCGTAGATGGGCACCATCTCCAGATCATTCTTCCCATTGGACACAGCTCCTGGGAAAGGACCAATTGGCAGGGCTTGGACATGACTCAGAGCTGGCTCTGTGGGAAAATCCCTATGGGCAGGGCATTTACCTGAAACAATCAGCTGAAATCATTTATAACACCGTAACTGTGAGGGCAGCAATGCTAGTTCAGGGAAAACATCCCAGCCTGAAATTTAAAAGGAAGATCTGGAGGAAGAGATGTCCAGAAGAGCCTTTGAAAAGAATGACATATTCCTGAATATCTAGAAGGCCATGTGCATGTTCTGGGTGTGTGAACGCCCAGGGAACATCTGGCAGGGCCCCAGTCTCTTGCCTCTGGCTGACCTTGAGGGCTGTGCAAACAGGAAATGAAGCCCAAGGCAAACTGGTAAATTGCCCGAGCAGGGAAGGCACGTCTCGACACACACACAGCGCTCCTTGGCAAAAAGTGGAGGGTTTATTGGCTCCAAGCATTTATGGAAATCTCTGGTCACTCATCAGCTGACTGCTGGGCCCACCTAGTAGACAATCCAGCGGCTGCACACTGCAGGGAATATAGACCATGTTAGTTTCCCAGGGCTGCCGTAATACAGAACCAAAGATCGCATGTCTTAAAACAACAGAAATTTATTGTCTCATTCTTCTGGAGGCTAGAAGTCCAAAATCAAGATCTCAGCAGGGCCATGCTGTCTCTGACGGCTCTAGGTGACACTCCTTCAAAGTCTCTTCCAGCTCCTGGTGGTTTCCAGCAGTCCTGAACATTTCTTGGTTCATAGATGCAAGACTCCAGTCACACGTCTTCTCTCCATCTGCATCTTCATGTCATCTTTCTTCTGTGCCTATCCGTCTCTGTGTCTAAATTTCCCATTCTTATAAGGTGAGCAGGCATATTGGGTTGGGGCCCACCCTGATGACCTCACTTTAAATTGGTTACCTCTGTAAAGTTCCTGTTTCCAAATGAGGTCACATTCTGAGGTATTGGGTGTTAGGACTTAAAACCCATCTTTTTGGAAGGACACAATTCAACTCGTAATATAGATTTTATAAAAATAGTCCATGAAAGTGATTAAACAAACACACACACACACACAAAACAGCAGCAATAGCAACAAACTCCAGGGAGGAGGGACCTGATTTCCAGAGTTGTCACATTATATTATCTAAAATGTCTAGTTTCAATAAAAATTTGAATGACTCATAAAGAAGCAGGAAATTATGGCCCATTCACAAGAAAATAAGCAATCAATAGAAGCTCTCCCAGTGGAAGCCCAGATCTTTACATACCAGACAAACGTTTAA